ATTTAAATCAATGCCACAAAGTTACGCAAGTGCAACCCTAAACTTGTTATCTTTGTATACAACATTTCAGAATCATGTTGTCCTACACCGGTTTTGTGCGCTCGATAGCATCTTTTGAAGCTTCAGGGCTAGCCTGGGGCACCATTCGTGTTGTTCAAACGTAACTTTGCTTTCAGCTAATCTGTTGTAGGTTGGTAGCAGGAAAAAACTGATATGAAAAGCGTCTTTCTTCCTGTTAAAAGCGCAACGAGCTCACTAGTAGCCTTAAATGAAGGGAACCTAGCTTTCCTACCTTTAGTCCCAGGCAATGGTTGACTAATGCTGTTTAAAGTGGTGCCACTTAGTAACTTTACGAAAACGCAGCCAGGATAATGAGAGATGAGTAATAAATGCAGTCATATGAGCATCTCTCGACAGCAGTGCACGCACCTGTTGCAATTAGGGTTTCACGACAATCTTATAGTGTGTGTTTTGAAAATGCCCTCTGACCTGTATAAAAACACCCAGCCTTAAACAGGTTAATTTTCTCCTCCGAAACGTGGATTGGGTTAGGAGAACAAAAAAAATGGAACTGAAATAGTATGGTGAAATATAGGTGACTATGTATCTGCCAGTGGTGAATGAAACTCTTTTAAAAATGAAGTCTGTGTCACACAAAGTTACAAGACCATGAAAGTGTCCAGGTCCTGTTATGTTAAATAAGCTGGTGACTCATTCTAAGAAAGCGCATCCTGTTCTTTGTGACTCAGACAACACCGGGGTGGTGTTTTACTCTCAAATCCATAAGTTACATACCTACATTCTCTTTGTGTCAACAGTCTCCAAGACCTATTTCCAGAATAGAGAATTCTCCTTCACCCTGAAAGATGATATCTACGTGCGTTATCTGTCCTTCAATAATCAAAATGACCTGGAGAAAGAAATGCAGAAAATGGTTCCTTATAAGGTTGACATTGGAGCTGTTTACTCAAACAAGGTAACTTATATATGCGATACGTCAGATGGCTCCAATCATAAATGCTGAATAGGAAGCTAACATAATCTACAAATTTTAAAAAATAAAAATAGCTATATTCTGGGAATTGGTGTTAATTTTTATGGTTAAAAGACAGACTGTGTTGGTAACATTTGGTATGTTTGGCAGCATCTGTGGTGAGAAAGAAGACAAATTAATATTCCTGGTCTGTGACCTTTGATCGGTGTTTATTTTATACTAACTAACTGAGCACCTGTAGTGTTGTGAACAGAGTAAAGAAGTGTTGAAAACATTTTGAATGATTTTCAATAATAGCCAGCTGAAGAGGTCTTCCAAGTCACTCAGTGTGAGTGACTGTGGCAATGTGCATGTTTTACGTGGTCTGGAGCTATGAATAATATTGGTAGAGGCACCAGAATTCTTGCCATCCCATGGCTAATGTTACTAACTGCTGTTGGTATGTGTTGGAACAATTTGCAGGTTGATATTTACGAGCTGACCACTACCAATCTGGGATTGACAGATCAAGAACAATCTGGGATGGGTAATAAAGGCTGGCCTGGCTAGTGATTACATCCATTGAACAAATAATAATTTAAAAACCACTTTTTTTTGGCTGTAATGAGTGCTCTTTCCTTGGCCATCGAGTTGTGGGTAGGCCTTCTAACTCTGAGGTAGAAATGCTACCCACTACCCCACAAGACCTCTAAATCTCACGGCAGTACATTCATTCCTCGTTATCCTTGCTGCTTGTGGGGTCAGCACCAGAGCCCATTTCTTTTTCTCTCATTGACTGGTTTGATCGTCTGGTCCTTCGTGACATGTAGGAGAGTTAAATGGGCACAATATCTGCAGGAAGTCTGTGTCCCCATCCTCAGCAGATAATGAGGATTTGGTGTATGCACTTGAATAGTACCAATGCATCTCTGAATAACATTGTAGCATTGAAAGTATTTAGTGTAGCACAGCCTACAGGGGTAACCAGTAATGCAGATGCTTAAGATGAAAACTTAATATATGTGCACTGTACCGAAGTTCATTGCTTTGTGACAGATGAATTGACTAGCATAATATGAAACAATTTAGCTGATTGTAGCCTGGGTAACAGATTATGAACTGCAGTAGCTTTCATTGTCCCTGGGTAAAGGGAGAAAAAATTGTCCAGGGAAACTGATTGCAGTCAAGGAACCAATGTTAGATGTATTTCTGTCAATGTTTGTTGTCCAATGTAGCTGCAGAATAAGACAGATTGGAAAAGCTCTGAAGAATCAGTTGTTAATAATGGCCAATTGACCAGAGTCAGAGGCCACCTTGTGTCATAGTCACAAAAAATGTTAAAATTTCTGGATGAAGAGAAGAGACATGATAAAATTTAATGACATTGTGTGGGAATCTTACAATCAATTCGTAACTGTCAAGTGTTTCTTTGTAGCCTAGCCAACATAATTCTATGAAGTCAGGAACCTTCCATGCTGAGAGTAAAGAGCTGGTTTTTGATATTGACATGACAGACTATGATGATGTTCGAACCTGTTGCAGGTATGTTGATTTTTTTTTTTTAATCTGGGCTAAGAGGTGCTAAACCAAAGTTGCTAAGGTGTTGGCAATAGTCAGCAGGTGTGGCAGCATCTGTGAGAAACAAAACAGAGATACAGTTTTGGGTTAATTACTTCTTTCTGTCAGAACTGGGGGGGGACACAATTTTTTTACATTTTTCACACTTGCAATTTGGGTTGTAAAAGAGCACTGGCTCTGCACCAACACTGCTAAAAGCAGCTCCCTTATCCTGACAGTAAAACTGTCAACTAAGGATGTTGAGGTACTCCAGCATGTGAAGAATGCAACAGAGTTAGTGTGAAATGATTAAAATTACAAATACTGCTTTTGTGCAAGACAAATATGTTCAACCAGGAACTTTAAGGTTCACTGTGAGCTATGTAACTTTAGTGATAGAAGGAATTTGTTAGATTTTCAATTATCCTGTGGTTTCATCAGAAATTGAAGATGCAAAAATGAGGATTATGCAGTTATTTGGAAGATGTATACACAGCTCAGCTTTCTATTCGTTTGAAATGTTAGAAACCGACTTGTTAATTGGAGCTTTGAGTTCCATTTTACAAGATTTTGGTTTAGATTTTCCATTTGTTAACTTGGTTATGGGTCAAGGAAAAATTTCACTGTTTATAAATGTTATTCAAA